ATCTCAGAAATGGAGTAGACTGTGCTGAGTGTGAGGCATTTAATTAAGAAAAAGCGTACATCATGACCTTACAGGGACACCATCATCAATGGGTTTAGGCTTCTTTCATCCTTCCTGTCCCTCCATTGTAAAATAACTATATTTATTATGTCTTTTTGCCTCAAAAAACAAGAATCTTCCTTCCTCCTGAAGAAATAAAATGCAATAAATACACTTTTGTGGTCAAGGACAGTGTCTTTACTGATTGGTACTGAGCTCAGCCTCTTGCTAAGCATCAAACAAACACCACACATAGTGGAATTTCTCACACAGGTAAAACATTCCATATATCCCTGGTATAGAAAGCCAAAATATTTTGTTACTGGAACCACTAACAGAGGATCCACTTTGGAGATGTACTGACCTCCCCCATTATGATATAGCAGATAAAAGATCTGAAATAAAAACCCCTGAGGGTGAACTGGAAATATTTCTGCCTCAGGTATAGTAAATTTTTAATATTGAACATAAAGTTCAATGGTAGACCCTTCTCTTTTCTAAAAGCAGCATTTTCTGTTATCATCATAAGAAAAGAGAAAAGAAGTAAAGACAGCTCCAAAAGGATGCCCCAAATTTGAACAGCATGTACAGCATTTGTGGTCAAATAGCACTCTTGGGAAACAGGTGGAAGACATGTTGGATAACCTTAAACCTGAAAATATTCTCATTTAGGTTTTTCTAGCAAAACCTAAATTCTCATTTAGGTTTTTCTAGCAAAATCTAAATTCTCATTTAGGTTTTTCTAGAACTCTTGGGATACAGGTGGAAGAAGTGTTGGATAACCTTAAACCTGAAAATATTCTCATGTAGGTTTTTCTAGGAAGGGACATAGGCTGACTCATCTTCCCCTTTTCCCATTTCCTGCAATAACACTACTTCTGGTTTTCCTTCCTTTCCTACTCCTGGCAATGTGTCAGCCACCTGCCCTGGCTCTGGGCAGAGATGGGGATTCTTCACATCTCAAAAATGCCTAGCAGCAAATGAATTCTCAGGAAGCATCTATGTCTTTTCATTTTGTTTCAGTGCACTTCAGAAGGAAATATATATAATTTAAATACATTACTAATATAAATTGCCTTTTCTTCATTTTGAAAAGCTGATTTTTCCCCCTCCACAATTGGTTTAGAATTTTATATGTGTCCTGGTTTTATTTCTTATAATAGTTCACAATATTTTGACTTATATTAGCATGCCAAAAAAAGCAGCTGAAATAGTTTTTTGTTTTTATTTTGAAAACTAGTCTGACAGTGACTGGCTGGCACATATAATTTCCTTTACTAGAAAACAGTATCTCTTAGACATGCTGGTAAATACCACAGCTTAACACAATTGCACATGTTGTTAATAACAGCAATGCACTGTGATAGGAAGTGATGCAAAAAATCATAAAAATAAATACAGCTCCAAAATGAACTTTTCCAATTCACAGTTATTTCCCTCATGGGAAATTATGTAAAAATAAATACATTTTTCTTACTCAATGTCTATTGTGGTGAAACATTTCCTATTGGATCAGAATGGGGATCCCAGAAGGCAGCTGAGCTAGATATCCCATGGTTCTAGTCATGGGCTGCCTTCCTCAGGAGCTGCCGAGCTCTGCCCAGAGCCTGACTGCCCCAAGCCCAGCTGCCTCGGTGAGTGGCAAGAAGGAAAACCCAGGTGAGATTTTCAAAAGCCCTAGCTCAATTTATAACCTTCTTCCTCCTCTCACAGTGCCCCAAGGCTGGGCTTATGGAGACAAAACTGCAGTAATGACTGCTCTTCCATCTGTGTAGATGAATTCCTCCTGCTCTCTATTCCCATTTTTTTAAAGGACAGTACCTGCCTGTCCCTGTCCTCAAAGTATGAAGCGCCAATGCTGAACAATGGGTGGAAGCCAGTGAATAGAGATATTCCACAGTTATCACAGGGCACCAGCTATGGGGATCTTTGAAGGAATTTTGAATGAGTTAGAGATGGGACCTGTGAGTTGTTTTTGATAATGTGATTTATTTTTTTTATCTTCTACATAGACAGGAAGGGTGAGTTCAGCTCACAGCTTTACTACATGTTTCAGAAGGTCACAAAACCCCTAGTTACAAAACCTTTTAAGGGTTGCTTGACCAATAAAACACTACCAACAAGAATATTTATGGTTTTGACCCAATTCTTAAATATTTTGTGTTATGGACTCATGCTACAGTGTAAGCTTTCTTAGCCAATCATGCTATGATACACAAGCCTACAGTACTGCATTCTAAACTTCTTGTTCACCTTTGTAACTACTTTTTTTTTTCCTGCATCTAAAATTCTAAACTTTCTTCTTCTTCACTTAAGGTGTCTCTGCTTTAAACTATAAATCCACATTTTTGCTTTTAGTACTCAAGTTCAGAAGCCTCTTGCAAGGTCTCAGATCAAATCCTATGTTTAATTCTTATCTTTAGCTTTCAGGCCCAAAATTCTAAGAATTCATTCCATTTCAGATTCCAACAATCAGCCATCTCCAACCTTCCACACACTCGATGAACTAGAAGTGCCCCCTTCCTCTCTCTTCCACTCATGTTCACTGTAGGTTAAACCACTGTGTAAAAGATCTCAGGCACCTTTTCCATAGAAACACCTCTGCTGCTTATCTAAGAGGTGTACTTCCCTGCTTCAGCTGGAACAGCTTCACCAGCATTATCCAGCAGCTGGTCTCCTCCAGGCATCTTTGTGTGTCAACAGGAGCTGCGTTTGAGTTACACTCCTGATAAACTTCTATAAAGAACTTGAGCCTATAAAAAGCCTACCCTTATCTCCAAGAAACTTAAGACCATGTAACCTGTCCTCTTAAAGCTATCATATTTCACCTGCACCTCAGCTCATGTGGAAACCATGCCTTGCTGGGGAGAAATGCTGGATCTCATGGGTGCAATCCTTATCCCAGGTCCAACCGCTGATGCCTGAGGTAACCCATTCCCTCCAGTTAAAGTCATATCACGAGCATGGTCCTTCAGCAAGGTTAAATGTCATCCAGCTTTGTTTTTGGAACAGAAATTTGGTCTTTCCATAAGCAGTACTGCCCCTCCAAGATGAGCACATGGGATGTTCCCTGTGGGAGGGTCTTGTGTGCTCTCAGGCAGGACAATCCTTTGGATTTATACAAACACAAAGATTTATAAACTCTTGGATTAAAATAGCAGTTCCACTGACATTTATGCCTAGTTAAATGTTTGCAAATAGCAATCATAGCTTTGGGCCTGCAAGGCAAAATAATTAAAAACATAAGAGGGGGAGAAAACATTCTCAGCTTCCTGTTATGGAAGCTCCTCATTCCCTGATCACCTCTGCTTCCTTTTTATCCTCTGAACTTTTCCCAGTTTGCCTTCATTGGTTTTGAACCGATGATTGGATGTGAAAAGAAATTATTCTTCCCAATAAAATACAGAGTTTCTATCTAGGAAGATGTGAGTTTGTCAAATATTTGTTTGAGGGCGGGGGGGCTGAACCCTTCTCTGCTAAAACCCAGGCCTGGGCCCAGGCAAAACACTACACTTGCCTAATATAGCAACAGAATCTTTTTTTATAATCTGAACAGCTACTGCTTTACAAGTAGGGTTGCCCTGAGTGGACAGTGGCTCACAGACAAACCTGTGCTCCCTCATCTGCAAAGCCAAGATGGGGTGAAAAAGATCTGGGGCTGGCAGAGATCCTTCCCTGGGAGTAATCACAATCTTCTCTCCTGGGACTGTCAGAGAAGCAAACGGATGCCCCTGTTTTTAACACCAGGGCTTACCGTCTGCCCTGGTCCAGGAAGGGGAAATAGCAGCACAATTGAAAAAATAAACCCCTGGGAAAAGTTGTTCAGTCCTTTGAGCTTGGAGAGGTTGGAAAATAATTTCTTGTCAACATACAAGTAGGGCAGAAATTCCGCATTCATCAGAGAGAACACCCTGAAAGGAAAGGCTAGAGACTTTCCCTCTTCACCATGTCTGCAGACCTGGATCTCTGACCAGAGACAGCACACTGGGTCTCTCAGAGTACACATATGTGTACTCGCAGGGTGCATGTCTCTAATTTGCTCTTCTTCCTGTTTCTGATTGGAAGGAATATTTGGGCCATTGCCACCATAAAATAGAATCATACAATTGTTTGGATTGGAAAAGACCTCCAAGATCAACAAATCCAACTGTTTACCCAGCACTGCCAATTCCATCACTAAATCATGTCCCTAATACCACATCTACACATCTGTTAAACACCTTCAGAGATATTGACTCCACCACTGCCATGGGCAGCCTGTTCCTATGCTTGACAGCCCTTTCTGTGAAGAAATGTCCCCCAATATACAATCTAAACTTCCCCTGGAGTATCAAGGCCACTTCTTCTTTTCCTGTTGCTTGTTACCTGGGAGAAGACATTGACCACTGCCTAACTACAGCTTCCTTTCAGGTCCTTTTAGAGAGCAATAAGGTCCCCCGAGCCTCCTCTTCTCCAGGTTAAACACTCCCCCACTCCCTCAGCTGCTCTTTATAAGACTTGTGCTCTAGACCCTTCACCAGCTTCTTTTCCCTTCTCTGGACATGATCCAGCACCTCAAAGTCTTTCTTGTGAGGGGCTCAAAATTGGATACAGAATTTGAGATCCACCAGTACATATCATCATCCAGAGACTGCATTGGACCTTTGCACTGTGCATTGCTCATCCACCCACTCCCACAAAGGATTCCTGTAAAAAAAACCACCAAAACCCAACTTCCCCAAAGCAGTCGTGTCACGACAGTGCACAAACTCTGTAGCTGGTCCTGTTGCAGAAGTGCCCCCATTCAGTGGCACCCAGTCTGCAGTAATACAGTATGAAATGCAGGAAAAGGAAAGAAAGTGTATCTTCCCTCACCTGCTCTGGGCCATACATGCTCCCAAACAGGAGCTCAGGCACTGGCATGTGTACTGTATTTACACTCCTTTGCTCCCATGACAAGGGCATTACCAGACCACACTCACCTTTCAATTTCTTCTTTCCAAATTTTAATCCAAATAGAGACATCCCAAAACTTTATTTTAGTCCAACTCCATGGAACTTCTGCAAGAGAAAAGAGAAGGCAATTCACAACACATAGAGCAGCACATACATGTCATTCTATGCCCAAAAAATGGTGGAAACAAATTCCTAAGCACTGTGGCCAACAGCCACAGTTTATCATCTAGAATGCATTAAAATACAAAACAATCTTAGGTTTTCAGGTTGCACTGCATCAGTGGGTTACCTTACCTGGGACATGCTGGTCAGTTCACTTCCTGACATAGCACAAAGAAAGGGCCAATGGAGAAGAGACTGAAAAGCACATTCTCACTACATTGGTGCTATATCAAAATGAGAAACACACATCCAGAGCTTGTACTTAAGGTACAGAGGAACCGCGTGTCTACCCAGAGCAAGACCAGCCTCCTTGAAGAGGAGGAAGCAGTGGGAAGCACTGGTTTCCTGTAAATCCGCCTCTGCTCAACACATGCCAGCTCACACTGTTGTCCATTGCTGGTCATCCTGCATGTTTGGGACAGACTAGAATAAAATTTCTCCTCCACTGGCTGCAAACTACTTGGCCCAGAAGCTAAGGCCAGGCACCAGAAATGTGTTTTAGGTCCTGAATATATCCTGATAGGCAGAGGAATTGAGCATTTAAAAAAAAAAAAAAATCAAAACTGGCTGGTAGTGAAATTTTCAGTGTCCCAGTCATCAGATAAGTTCATTTAAAGGATTTGAAGGTGATGTTGGTGATGACAACCTAGAGGATCTGTGAACATGAGAAAAGCTGGCATTGCTCTGTGACCAGGAGCCTGAATCAACAGGAACACTGTACCACTTGCTTAACTGGTCAATAGGGCAAGTTGAGACACTTGAGAGTCACAATCCATCTAGAACAAGTTTTCTAGGTGACAGAAGAAGGTAGTTTTTGCACTTTATCCTATGCTATCCATGCAGAGCAAGGGTGCCTAAGGAGACAGGAATAGCAAATATGTCATGTTTTGGAAACATGCACACACAGACAGCCTATGACACTGCCCAAATGCAAACCTGATACAACACCACCAGTACGAGCTTGGGCTTCATGTATTTGCAGAAAATAAAGGTAAACTTTAAGGAGAACTCTACAATCCTTGCATATGTCAAACTTGTGCTCCAGATGCTCCAGCAAAGCTATATTTAGCAGCTGCAGTTGCATGAATTTTAATTCAGTGAGGGTTTGGGAGCCTCTCTGTGCCCACTCTACTTGGAAGATGTCCTTTATCTATTCACTGATCTAACTGTTTCTGTTCATCAAGACAAATGCTTTGGTACCACCTCTCCCCAGAATTTCTTTGCCCATGAAGACAAACTACTTAAAGTTAAAATATGCAATGTCACACCGTAAAGCTTTCTTGACCCTGCTGACCAAACTTACTTTCCACGCCTTACCTCAGTCTATCACTTTCAATATAATTCTTCCATGTTTTAGAATTACTATTATGTCTTACAAAACCCTACTAACAAGGACAGAGAGTTCCCCATAAGATGGCTGGAAGAGTGAGACACTCCCCATACACATAGAGGTAGAGACCTCAGATTTCCTAAGGCAGAAGGAGTCAAAGATCTGATAATCACTGATCTGGTAATCCTGGAAGCCCAAGGATGGCTGCAATCAAAATATTGATGATTACATGATCCATATGAACTCTGGATGTTGCTGTATTTGCAAACATTTTCAGAAAAACAAAAGTCACTCCTCACTGTCAGCACAAATATGCAAAAGGTTAGCTGGTTATAATCATCATATTGATGATTACATGACCCATATGAACCCTGGATCTTCATGTATTTTCCAAACTTTTTAGAAAAACAATCCCCAGCTACCAAAGCTCTTCCAGCTGTGTACTCAGTAGACAAGGTATATAATTTCAGCAGAGGGTGAAAAAAGGATGTTTGTATTTTTGGGGAGCAGAGAAGCAAAGGTGGCTATAAGCTTTCTTTTATGAGTAATAACATGAAACAAACAATAGACTTTCACATCTTCCAAACAAAAACATGAAACTTCTTTCAGCTCTGACACGTGGCTTTTGTTAATTACTGTGATTCTTTGAACCCTGGTTTCTAGTGGGACTGCAGCATGACAAGAAGTCTGAAACAATACAGTGTTTTGATATGGAAAACATGTAGCTCCCACAGCTTCTCTGCATTAAATCAGGATTGCATGCATTGAATGTCTTCACTCAGCAATGAATTTAAGTAACCATTATGGCAGCACAAATACCCTTATAGGCTTCTTTCAATTCCCCCAAAACTTTGCCTTTTAGGGCAGACATGGGAGATAGGTAACATTTGTACCAGTTACCTCTCCAGCACGTCATTGCCACCACACAGACTTGGCATACCTGCTCACTTACTTAAATCCCAGGAGTTATGTATGAATCCTTCCCAAGCTGACCTGATCCTTTAGGCAAAACTCAGTTCCTGACTTGCCCAAACCACAATGTCATTTGAAAATGTGTCAGTATTCAATGGGCACACAGGTGATGGCATTGAGGGTGGGACACACCCCTATTGCATTGGGGTGTACCCTTTATTTTCATAATATTGCAAATATCTTCTTTTACTGCTTTGTTATTGACTCACACATCTAATCCCCATATTCTTTACAGAGGAAAGCCACTCTCACAAGGGCTGTAGCTTCTGTGCAAGGCTGTCTGCTCTCACCCCCTCTGTGACAGTACACTGTCACACTTCCAAGTGTCTGTTTTCAGTCTGAGAGTTCATTTACCACCAGCTGCCAGTGTGAAAAGAAACACAAGCAAGTAATGGTGAAGTTGTCCCCTTTGGTGAAGCAACAGGTACTGCTTCCATTTGTCTCACTTATCACAGCTTGTGCAGACAGATGTGCTTTCTTGGCTGACCTTGGCTCTTCCTGCCTTTCAACCCCACATCTTTTTTCTTGGGTTATTTTAGACTGTCAATTCTACCTGCATGGTCCAACATCTTTGCATTTGTATTTATCAACAACATCCCTCAGGGTATTTTTTTCCCCACAGATTTCATGTGTAATCAAAATTCACGCCCCTGTTCAGTTTTCTTTATTTTCCTATTTTTTAAATCTGAGTTTCCATTTCAAACTTGCAATGATAGGTCATCATCCTCGTATCACTCACATCTATTTTAATTACAGTTTTAATTTCTCTTTATGCTTTCCAGGGGAAAAAAAAAATTAAATTATTGGGGAAAAATATTATCTCATATTTCATTTGTTGTGTGGCATTAAGTACTTCTCAAATTTTGGTAGGATAATTTCATAGTCTCCTTTTCCTGAATTAATTAAAACCTATAAACACATAAAAAAACATTCTACAGTCAGAAAAAAGGCAATTTCCTGTTTGTGTTAATTTTCCCTGGTACCAGCTATGGTCAGGCAAAGTGAAGTGCTGCTTCTGTCTCCTCTAGTTGCTTTCCACAGTCTGTGTCAGCCCTTCCGCACTCTTAATTGTTGTTGTTCCATTTTCTACTTGATTATTTTTTGATTTTCTTAATTTCTTTTTACCCCAGGTACACTGCATTTTCAGTAATCAACTGGGTCTCAGAGTATTTGAGCACTCATGCAGGTGCAACCCCTCAGCTTAACACAACATATGTTGCTTCCCGTGTTTTCAGGACCTATAGAAGAAATTATTTAAAGTTCAAATTCCCAATTCTTACAGGTAATTGGGAGCTCAAGCTACAAATAAATTATCCCTTCTCACCATAGAAAACCTATGAGGCTCTATGAACTGTCCTTCACCACTTACACATCTGCAAAGACAATCCACCTGCTTTATGGCTGCTGACAGTTTGATGAAGGCCTCTGGGTATTTCAATAGCCAGAACAAGAAGCTGCTTTGACAGGTCTTGAATAGGGAAGTGATGTTTTCTCACAAACCAAATTCTGCCTCATTTAAGAGAGACAGAAGCAAGGTGGGTCAAGGTAATCCCAAGTACAGGCTGAGCAGAGAATGGCTTGAAAGCAGACCAGAGGAGAAGGGGTTAAGGGAGCTGGTGGATGAGAAGCTCAACATTAGCTGGCTGTGTGCATTCAGTCAGAGAGCCAAATGTCCTGGGCTGCATCCAGAGCCCCATGGGCAGCAGGGGAGGGAGGGGATTCTGCCCCTCTGCTCTGCTCTGCTGAGACCCACCTGGAGCACTGCATCCAGCCCTGGGCTCCCAGCACGGGAGGGACAGGGACCTGCTGGAGTCAGCTCAGAGGAGGCCACCAAGATGAGCAGAGGGAGGGAGGATCTCTACTGTGGAGACAGGCTGAGAGAGCGGGGGTTGTTTAGCCTGGAGAAGGGAAGACTTTGCTAGGATCTTAGAGCAAATTTCAGTACTTAGGCTACAAGAGAGCTTGAGGGGAGCTTTAAGCAAGGCATGTAATGCCAGGACAAGGGTGAATGGCTTCAAACTGAAAGAGTGTAGGCTTATATTAGATATTAGGAAGAAATTCTTTACTGGGAGGGTGATGAGATACTGGCACAGGCCACCCAGAGAAGCTGTGGATGCTCCATCCCTGGAAATGTTCAAGGCCAAGATGGATGGGGCTCTGAGCAACCTGGTCTAGTGAAAGGTGCTCCTGCTCATGGCAGGGAAGTTGGAACAGGATGATATTTAAGGTACCTTCCCAAACTATTCCACAATTCAAAGATTTGGCTTGAGAATACAACTGCAAAGCTCCTCCTGCATGAGGGGTAAGTTGCAATGAGCTACAACATGTGGGCTTTGCAAAGGTTCACTGAGGGCTATACTGCAAACTGGAGGAAGAGGAGGAGGGAGGCATTTCCCACCACTGCCAGCTTGAGTGGCAAAATGACAAGAGATGGCACAAGCTGGATGAATGCAGAGCAGATGTTGTGGATGGAAAACATGTCTCGTATCTTGGCCCTGTTTCTCCAGATAAAGCCAAAAGCATCAGATTCAATGATAAATATGAATTAGAATATACTTGCTGCCCCTGTTCCTATCACTTCATTCCCAGACTCTGTGAAAAGATCCACGTTAAATACAATCAGTTTTGGAAGGGTTATTTT